TTCGAGCCCTCCTGGCTTGCCAACAAACTGCTTACACGTTGTATAGTGTTTCCGTGGCCCGTGAGTACCATCCAGTACAATTCATAATTTGCACTGACCGAGCTACTGGCAACCGGTTATTGTCATTTCTCTAGTTTAGAGACCCTGTACTGGTAACGTCTCATTTTATTGCTAGAGATATTAACTATGCAATTAAGAATTCAGAAAATCTAGAATATTACGTACATACCTTCGGTTCTTGTCTAAGTATTGCCTGCAGTTAAATATGCGAGCTTGAGAGCTTTCGACTTGCGTTGCTTTCGGTAACAACAAGAACGTTTTTGCATCGACGAAAGGACAAAAGCAAATGTTTGAACGAAATCTACAAATTTTGCCAAGAACCTGTCGCTTCTTTGCTTTTCATAGGTGTCCTACAGTTCACTAAGTGACTGGCTTAGACATCTTAATAAAAATGTGAAATGTTTTTGAAAGTCTCCAAACTCCAAAATTAATTAATTTTATGTAATTGTTTGCAAGAACCGACAATTCACCAGGGGCACCCAACGACTGTTTTCTGGAAAACATTTGTTCGGAGAAGCAAATATTGCCTAGCTGAATTTTCTATTACTTGAGGAGGGCTAATAATTTCTAGATGGCCATTTCATTCATGCACAATTTTCGATGGGAAGCTTGTCTAATAAATTCCGTACGATTTTCTGAAGTTTACATGATTTTTCACATTTCGCTGTCCAGATTAGGATAATGTTTCGACAAAAAAGGAAACCTAAAATTTTCGGATTCAAAAAATATGATGGAGAAATCAAAAAATTCTCACTTTCGTAATTATAAAAAAAAAATTATGCTAAATTGCATCTAAAATTTTCGGGATAATAATACTGAAGCCCTTGTAATTTCGAAAAGACTCAATTTCCCCTAGAATGACTGAACAGATACCAGCGCCGCTTAGAATGCATCTCTTCTAGAGATCTGAAAGTACTCTGGAAAGCCTTAAAAGTGTTTTGTGTGTCTTGAGGAGGAAACTGTCGTTGGGTGCCCCTGATTTACAGCTTCCTGTAGACTTTGAAAAAAAGTCCTTCGTCCAATTTGATTCTGGCGCCAATCAAGTATATATGAAAAGTCCTTTGTTCCGCGCCATATACTCCCGAAGGAAGAAACAATTACAAAAACGTTTAAACCAGCAATATCCTCCATTGTTATGTAGCAGGAATTTTTCCCCAACATCGCGCGCTCTCACTGGTTACTTCGTGGTCACATNTGTTTTTGAAAGTCTCCAAACTCCAAAATTAATTAATTTTATGTAATTGTTTGCAAGAACCGACAATTCACCAGGGGCACCCAACGACTGTTTTCTGGAAAACATTTGTTCGGAGAAGCAAATATTGCCTAGCTGAATTTTCTATTACTTGAGGAGGGCTAATAATTTCTAGATGGCCATTTCATTCATGCACAATTTTCGATGGGAAGCTTGTCTAATAAATTCCGTACGATTTTCTGAAGTTTACATGATTTTTCACATTTCGCTGTCCAGATTAGGATAATGTTTCGACAAAAAAGGAAACCTAAAATTTTCGGATTCAAAAAATATGATGGAGAAATCAAAAAATTCTCACTTTCGTAATTATAAAAAAAAAATTATGCTAAATTGCATCTAAAATTTTCGGGATAATAATACTGAAGCCCTTGTAATTTCGAAAAGACTCAATTTCCCCTAGAATGACTGAACAGATACCAGCGCCGCTTAGAATGCATCTCTTCTAGAGATCTGAAAGTACTCTGGAAAGCCTTAAAAGTGTTTTGTGTGTCTTGAGGAGGAAACTGTCGTTGGGTGCCCCTGATTTACAGCTTCCTGTAGACTTTGAAAAAAAGTCCTTCGTCCAATTTGATTCTGGCGCCAATCAAGTATATATGAAAAGTCCTTTGTTCCGCGCCATATACTCCCGAAGGAAGAAACAATTACAAAAACGTTTAAACCAGCAATATCCTCCATTGTTATGTAGCAGGAATTTTTCCCCAACATCGCGCGCTCTCACTGGTTACTTCGTGGTCACATGACATCTCACAATGAAACTGTTTCCCGCCAAAATCTTTGAGGGGGCAACTTGAGTCTCATTGAGATTCTCGTGAAATAAGACTTAACTGTTTCCCTCGGACCAGTCATTAAATGCAAGTGTTTATTGTTTCCTTGCCGTAAGGTCGCAGTGACAGCTTCTTTTGGTAACAACTCAATTAACAAGCCCACAATCATCACAACAAATAAATAAGCAGCTAGTGGCACTTACTTGGTAACTAAACAAATTACAAAGTCCTTTCATTCAATTAAGTTTAACGTGAGCCGTTATTGCAGAAACAACACTTGACAGCGGCTTCAAGTAACCAATCGCTCCATGTAAGGGATCCAAGACAGTCTGGGATTCTGGATTCCACGCCGTGGATTCCGGATTCCGGATTCCAGGTACTGGATTTCAGTCTTTGTCAGCGAAACTTGGTCGTTAGTGGGATTCCGGATTCCTTGATCTGTATTCCAGATTCCAAAGCCCAGGATTCCAGATTCCAGATTTCTCGGATTTCGGTATCTGTATTTTCTTACATGGGGCGAAACCAAGTGTAGAAGAAGACTTTTTTAGCTTGTAGTTTGTTTCCCATTGTAGGTCATGCGATAATACCGCTCCAGAGAACTGTTTCTTTCAATTAGTCTTATCCACGTGCATATGTACTAAATACTGTTTTAGGAATATTTATCTCTTTATACTACTACATGAAAAATTACTGCAATTTGATTGGCTTAGAGCAGTGATATTTCAGCTTAATTTGAAATACCTACATGTGAAAATTTCAAACCTTTAGCGGGTAGTAGTATAAACAAATAATAGCATGATTTGTACATGATCTTTGGCATAAAGACCACTCGTGATATTCAAAATCGTCTCAAATTTCACTCGCCTAACGGCTCGTGAAATTACGTATAACAATTTTGAAATATCACTTGTGGTATTTATGCCAAATATCACTACAAATCATGCTACTACCTATACTAATTTTTTAGAAAGATATACACCACACTTTGTTTCCACCATAGAACCCTGAAATATTTTTTATTAACATTATAAACTAAATGGCGGTGTAAATTTACAAAAGGTCTTGCCAAGTTCGAATAGGCTATAATTCATACCGCATTTCCCTCCGGACAGGTCTAGCGAGAGTTTTATTTATTTCAGTTTTGCAAGCGAGTGTAAAAGTTGATCATACCATGTCATAAACTTGCGGACGCACGAGCGGAAGGAAACAACTTTCTCCTTTCGCGCTGAACAGGCTAAATTTTATTTTAATCCTACTGTTAAGAAAACTTCCACCTTGATTGTTATGTCGTAAAAACCGTGGCGTACAACCATGCAGGTGAAAAGTTATTTCGTCGATCAGTCACAAAGAAGTACAAAAAAGATCAAAAAAGGCCAACCACTCGAAACATTGCTCTCAACTCCACAAAGTAAACGAGCTTCTGAAGATTATTCTAACTTTCCCAGGAACATTTTGCGTGTGCGGTGAAGGTACTAAGTGATGACTTCAGCTAAGAATTGACCTAAAACAGTAATATCCTCGTTACATAGCCCCGTTAAGCCGGGGCTTCAAGGGCCGTTATGGTTTGAACATTAGGGAGCTTAAGCAATGACGACGGCGACGTCAACGAGAACGGTAAAAAAGCAATAGGCTGAGATGGGCAAAACAACAGCTCTGCACGTGCATCACGCTTTTTTGTACATTTTTTGCCGCGCACGACTACGACGTGAAAATGCCTAATTTCACGTTTTGTGGAGAACGTGAACACAAGACGACAACTTTATTTTTCTTTTCCTGAACCCCCCAGAAAAAACTGCCAACGTTTGACAGACTAAACGAGATGGAATAAGCGCGATACAGTTTGAAGCAGCAGGACTTCACTTTTCAAGTGACGCTTTAGTAGTCGTCGCCGTCGTTGTTGCTTAAGTTCCCTACTGTTCCCTAAAGTTCCCCATTATATTCGGCTTAACCAGAGGCAAAGCAAGAAAGAGTGCTGTGGATCTCAGGCAGCCTAAACTCACGAGATTCCGAAAAGATTACCCAAAGAAACCCCTGCAAATGCCCACCATTAGTTTGAGGCATGAAAAGTCTAGTTGCTTGTAGTTTCATTGCCTAAATATAGTGTTAAATAAAAAAAAGACAATTATTTTTTGAATTCAATTGATACAAACACACGTTCTACCGTTTTTTTAAAAAAGGTAGAAAATAATTAACATTTATTCCTCGAGCCCGAATGGGCTATTGACGGGTGAGAGGAATAATTGTTTTAGTAAAATCGAACTAGTTGGCAAAAAATATCGAGACAAAACAACTTTAATCCTTTTTTGCCGCCAAAAAGCCGGCGCTTTTCGCTACTAGTGGGCTATAACATATAGCCCAGTAGTAGCTCAACCAATCAGAACACAGCATTGATAACAGACCACTAGCTAGATTTTACTAATGGGATATAGCCTCTTTAAAACCAACCAGCAATAACCGCGATTTTTCGTGAACAAGTACTGAATTTTCATTTTGTTTCCCCCCTTTAATGTTTGGACGCCTTCTTGCTTTTGCAAGTGTCGCAGAAGTGCCCGTGGTTAAACTAAATCTTCACTCACCCCAAATTACGCCCTTTTGGAGCCTTCCATAAAAATGCATGCCCTTATGCCGGTTACAAACATTATAGTTCAACCTCTTTAAGTACATTACTTCGATACTTCATTGTAGTCTTGCTTGTAACATATATTCACTAACAACTTCATGGCCCTAGCGAAATACAACCAACGCATTTTTAACATGAGTTCCTCAATTAGCAGACACCTCCCCTATAGGAATCCTTTTTCTAATACCGGGGGTGGTTCCGGGAGATTCGACTGTACAGTCTAATATATCACTACCGGTAAGAAAAGTTTACAAAATTACTTTTGAGGTCCAAGGATAAAAACATTTCAACTGAGTCAGAGTAGTCATGTAAGTGAACACATTCCACTGCATCCTGAGATGACTTGTGAACCGGCTTCTGTCAGTTTTACTCCGCCAGTGGCACCATCTTTCTCCCATAAACCTGGTGTCTGAATTATCTGTACAAAGAAATGACAGTGAGGTTAGTCTTTGGAAACTTGGGCCGGGTTTTTCAAAGCGGGGTAAAGATAACCCAAGGTTAGAGCGAAATTTGAATTTAGATATGAAAACTTAAAAGGCAAATTCACGTTACATGTGTAATAGGCCATTTCCGAGTTCCCCCGGGCCTCTGTATCAAAACGAGGTTCGGTGCTCAGCTTTTGATATGGAAATGATTTTTCATTGGCCGAATTTATACTAGAGACGAATTATCCGTCTCAGACGGATAATCCGTCTCTAGTGTAAATCCGGTGCTAAAGACGAATTATGGAGCAAAATTCGTCTGAGGCTGATTAGTCTGTTAGCACATTTTGAAGACGTGCTAACAGACGGATAATATTCAGTTATATCTAGACGTAACGTAGACGGTTTTTTGACGAAGTTTCCACATGAGAGGGACTGGTTTCTGTATTTTCGCAATGTTTCCTGTTTCCCGCTTAAAATATCTAGACAAATTATGGAACAAAATTCGTCTACGGATTTATACTTAGACGAATTCTCCGTCTGACGGCTAATCCGTCTAGACGGATAACTCGTCTCTAGTATAAATTCAGCCATTCTCACGCAAATAAAACTCATTTCCACAAGAAAGGCTGAGCACTTAACCTCGTTTTGATACAGAGGCCCGGGGAACTCGGAAATTGCCTATTCCTTTGGTCTGCAATTTGTTGATTGGATGCTCTAAAAAGAATAGGGATAATTGTCCGAGAAAATGCTTTTAAACAAAAGAAAGAGAAACCCGGGTTAAAATTTATGCCCGCGTTAGCGCTAATCGGTCTTCGAACAACTGGGATTTCTTTGACATTTCTTTGAATAAATAATTTTTGCAGTCTATCTGAGCGCCCATTTCCTCGAAAGATGGTTAAGTTTAACCCAGGATTAAGCCAAATTTTAAGCAAGGTTTTCTTGTCTAAGAACACGTAACAAGAGCTTACAAGACACTGTTGTGCCTTTATTTCCGAAAAAAAAAATGATAACATAAAATGTTACTCTAAGCAATGCATAGGAAGGTAAATACAAAAAGTGGACCAAAACTAATCCTGGATTAGAGCTAATCGGCCTTTCAGGAACCGCGCCTAGAAAAACTGACTTCACCCAGAAACTAAGGCCCTAGATGTACGAACATGGGGCGGGAGGCACAAAAGCACTAAATACGGCTTAGTTTCGGGTCCCACTGAAATTCAACTACTACTGCAATAGTTGCGTGTCATTTAATAGTCATCCCCTTTAGCTGAGTCTCGTCCATTGTAGAACAGTTTTGCGGTATTTCCAGAAGGACACTGGTATTGAAAATTCGGTGGAGAGTACGACAACGATGTGACTGATTTCTCAACAGTAAATTATATTCATCCTTGCAGATCAGTAGCATTACAGTCAGATACGATTATACCATCAACCAACTTAAGCGGCAAGCCGTGACATTCCGGTGTGTATTGAGGGTATTTACACAACCAGTGCAAAATACCGTTTCAGAGTAAATCAAGAACAACACTTGTTGTTTATTAACAATAATTTATCGTGCTTGCCTTTATTTTGTGTCAGATTCATTTATATCATGCAAACTTATTAAACTGAATAGTTGGATGCAAACTTCTTGCTCTTGCATGTACTGTTAACTTTATTTCCGCGTATTCTCAAAAAAAAGACACCCTGAAGACTTCATTTTTAAATTTTTTCACAAGAGAAGTTAGCACGGTTATATTTATTGAAGGAGGTTGATCCACCTTCCGATCGCAAAACATTAAAACTTCTAAAATTTGACAACGTGTTTCCGTCACTACGACATCTTCGTTAAACCCGTAGTAGAATGACGACGGTTATTACATTTTCCCGCCAGAATGACGCTGGTTCACACGCGCGCACTATTTATTATTGAGCAAAACTCGTTCTCATTGTCGTCTTTGTCTTAGAATCTAAAGGTCTCTAAAAGTTAAATTATTACAATAATTACTGACGAGAAAACTCTCAGAATGAAGTTACATAGTTACCTTTTCTACAAGTTCTTCAAATGCAAGCTGTACTCCTTCCTTTGTTCTTGCACTGCATGAATGAAACAAATCACAAGTATTAAAGTAATAATAACTTGGTAAGGTTAGGTCGTGGGTCCAAGCGCGATTGAGGAGTCGAATTTTTTTTGTTCCATACTGTGCAATTTACGATCAATAATATTTAAGCCTTTTACAATCAATCAACCACTGTTTACTCACCTTGCTTCAATAAATAACATAGAATGTCTTCGAGCAAACTGCAAACCCTGTTTCCTGTCAACCTCACGGCCTTCCTAAAATGTAACAGCAACATAAATAATATTACATGTAATCACCACCTCGAAATCTATGCCTTGCTATCAAATTTGTGATACCCACCTAAAACTTAATAATAAAAAAAAAGAACATGCACAGAATCTACAACTACTCGTATCCACAGAAGGAATTGAAAGCCTCTGTAAAACAGACGTTTCTTGTATGTTTAAAACTACTTTCCGCAAAATGGCATCACTTCCGCGTGTACAAAACGTATGAGTAACTTCCACATGTATATAAACATGTAGTAAAACTAGTGCCTTAAGGTTTATATTGCAAAAAAAGTGCTAGTAACATTAAGCTGCGTGTTTTTAGCCAATCAAAATTGAGATACCGACACGCATGCAAAATAATAGTTGTTGTTACAGATCGAAAGGGCTTAAAGAGCCAGTGCTCATATGGACTGAAATTACCTTATCTATTTTGTTGCCAACCAACATTTTTATTATGTCCTTTTTTGTTGAGTACATTTCTACTTCATTTAGCCATTCTTCCAGTTTATCAAATGTTTCTCTGCTGCTTGTGTCATAAACTAAAAAAAAAGTAACAAGAGTGGTAAGATAATTTTCAAAATGGTGCAGCATACAATAGCAACTCAAGTTCAAATCAGTATCAACTGGGCCACCTTAATAAACTACCCAACTTGCTCTACTAACAGTATGGTTATGTATAGTTTTAGAACAAACATCTTTTATTACACACCCTATTAATGCCTGTACTTCCTTAGGCTGGGAATCATCCCATTCAATAAAATATGACTTAAATAATGCATCACTCAATATTGTATCAGCTGTGGGGGTAACTATTAAAAAACTGAAAAAAATTGACCCTTTAAGCCCCAATATCCACACACATACATATGTACTCTGTAATTTTCAAATCTCCAAAACATTTCTGTAAAGAACTAGTTGAAAGATTTTGATAAAATGCCAAAACATTTTCCCTTTGTTGATCATTTACTTCTCATAGCCTTTTCTTTTGATGATGTATGGATACAGTGAGGAGAAAATTGATGTTGGTCATTCTTACATGTGTAGGACTTAAAGTTTTAACCCCCGCTACAGCAAATACCTCCCAGGGAGGTTAATTCCCGAATTGAATAGATAATATCCTGTTAGTATCAGTGTTTTGTCGTATAGTTTGCTTCAAATTACTATCATCAGCAAAAGAAACTGCATGACTTAAAGGATGCGTTCCTTTACCTAGCACGATCTGGATCAGGGTCAATGATCTGAGATCACTGGGATCATGGAAGATCAAATAAAACAATAAATCCACTCTGGACAAGGATTCATCGGTACATTTGATCTACCATGAACTGAGTGATCTCAGTTCACTGATCCAGATCCTTATCATCCCAAACGAATGCACCCAAAATGTAACATTGATGCAATTTTACCACAAGTGCTGTGTGTGGCTACTTTCTGGGCCATTTAACTTAGCAGGCCATTACAGCAAACATGTTTGGTAGTGTGAGAAAAGAGGTTTTCACAGTTAGAGTTACATAGTGTAAGTGTCTATTATAAGGAACCTTAGTACATGACTGTATTTATTCAGAATATATTGATGTGTACTGTGTATGTCTGATGTTATGTACAGAGATTGTGAATCAAGAGATCACCAAAAGGCTGTCAAGAGAATATACAAAAGATATAATCATTATGAAAACTATAGAGTTAAGTAACTACCTAAAATAACGCCTTGTGCTCCTCTGTAATAACTGGGTGTCAATGTTCGGAAGCGCTCCTGACCTGCAGTATCCTAGGGTACAACAACAAAAACAAGCTTTTTTTAAAATCTTTCTTTTCTTATTATAAAAGGACAATGCCATTTAATATGCCAGAAATTAGCTTTTGTGCTAGTTGAGATGGGCACAAGAGAAGAGAAAAACATATTACAGAAAAAAACAATTCATAAAAGAGTACAAAACCGAACGGGCTCTAAGTATGTATCTAATTACAGTGGAACCTCGATAAAACAAACCTCTATATAACAAAGTCCTCGGTATAACAAACGATTTTCCTTACCCCAGTAATAGTAAAACATATGGAAAAGTACCTCAATATAATGAAACCTTGTTATAGCGAATAAATTTTGCCAGTCCCTTGGCACTTCGTTATCAAGGTTCCACTGTAAAATAGATTGAGTTCCAAGACACCTACTTATTGTTATTAATGCCTGTACTTCCTTAGGCCCGAAATCATCCCATTCAGTATGACTTAAATAATACATCACTCAATATTGCACCAGCTGTGAGGGTAAAATGGTTTATCCTGCATGCTATAATTATCAATTATCCCACGAGTGTGCATTGGATATGAGATGGTAGATAGCCAATGAGGCTTGAGCGCCAAGTTGGCTATAATCATCTCATATCCAACAAGCGCGAGTGGAATAATTGTTTTATTAAAAACGCCCACAAAATATCGACAATTCCACATGACTTTATTAATTTTGTAAAAACAGCCGATTTTCATCTTGTTTTTAATTTTGTGCAGACGCGTACAGTTACCATTTAGAGAGCATGGTATAAAGGCTTATCCAATGATTCAGCTTTTAATAATTTAAATTATCTGGCAGCCAAAATACACACTGTAGGAATGAAGTATTTACCCAAATAGCGAGTTTTGCCTTGTTGCCATCAATAGTAAGTGTTTTAACTTTGAAGTCGACACCTGCAAATCAAAGAAAGCAAAGTTTGAGCTCCAAGCGGCTTCAATAATAATATTACTAATAAAAATTTGTTGATAAGTCTTATCATATTTTTTTTTTAAAATGAGGCTGGTTTCAAGTTGTGTTTGTACATTAAAACTGTGATACTCCTCATTATGTTGTTAAAATAAAACAATTCACGGAGAGCACATGACAGTAAATGTTGAGAAGATCATTGCAGTGATAGAGTTATGCATGTTAACTGAAAACCATGATCTCTCTTATTGCTGATTTACCTGAAGGAAGGAATTAATTGACAACAGAAAAAAATCATGAAATTTAAACTCTTGGAGCATGGCAGAGAATTGCAGGTCCACACCATGACAGGTAATAATAATATGAGAAATAAGCCCCAGTTTATTGGTAAAACTAGATGGGAGGTATATACGCAACAAATTTCTGCAACATTTCATGAAATACTGTTGAGAATCGATGCTGCCTGTCTAACCACCTGCATGAGCAAGTCATCATGCAATATTTTTCATTCTCATGTACAGTGTAGCAGCTGAGTAACAGCATTGTGGTTTGAACAACACAGCAGCTTGACACAACGAAAAGTTGTTGCTTTGCAAGTTGTTCTCATAAGCTGGAGGCAGTCACACTTTGAGGTTTGACTGTGTCTGTGCATTTTGTTTTTCACATTAAAGTGCAGTGTAAGGATTTTCTAAAAAGAATAATTATTTGCTGTTTTAGCTGTTGAAACACAGCATACACTGTACAAATAAAGAGGTCGGGACAGCGATACCTTTCTGGTGGGAAAATGTTGCTTTAACATAGAGGAGTTTGTGCCAAACCTTTAGCAAAAACACACAAATTTCCCTGGTAAACAACCCCCAAGGATGGCACTGTACATGGCCCACTCCAATACTTACCTATTGTGGCTCCAATATCAGGATCAAACGTGTCGTCAGTGAACCTCAGGAGTAGGCTGCATAAAATTTAGGTGAACAATTTTGCAATCATCAATTTAACAGTCATTTAAAACAAACCCTTAACATAATTTAAAAGTAAATTATAGCTTTATCTTAAAATTATATGTTTACTTTTTTCTACAGAGCTCACATGTAACACTGCACTTCTACAGAGATTACTTCCATAAAAATTCCTGCCCGTTTCTACGTAAAAATTATGTATAAAACCTACAAACCTGGACTCTGCATCCTTAACCACTGGAATGAGTGATAAGCTAACATAAACGGCTGACTGAAGCAAATAACCTAAACATGAAACTTATCTGTAATAACCCTATCAGCTTACCTAGATTTTCCAACTCCACTTTCGCCAACAATCAAGATCTTCAGCGTCGTAAGAACGTCGTTTTCCATCGTCCCAAGAAGCACTCCACTCTTGCAGAGCGTTTTGATTCCCCAGACCTTTAACTTACTGCTGAAATCAACTGAAATATTCCGCTATATCTTCTCATTTCGTCATTGTTATTTTCTACAGGAGACACGTCTTTTGTTATGGCGGAAGACCGCTGACATTTACACAAGAGGAGGCGAAGGGCCTTATGGGGCATCTACCCGCATATAGAGTACTAAAATGAAATTTCTGAAATTATGGGATTTGTCAGGATATTCTGAAAGAACAATGTCCAAGAGGCCTACGTGCCAAAAATGAGCATTTCGGGGCAAATTGTCTCTGAGATAGTAGCCGGTTATACTCAGAAAACGCAATACAAACCCTTCTAATTTCTTTTTGGGTCGACCCAAAAAAAATTTAGAAGGGTTTGTATGGAGTTTTCGAAGCATAACTGGGCTACTATCTCAGAGACAATTTGCCCCGAAACGCTCATTTTTGGCAAGTAGGCCTCTTGGACATTGTTCTTTCAGAATATTCTGACAAATCCCATAATTTCAGAAATTTCATTTTTATGACGTCACACTTTAGTACTCTATTACAGCTGGTATTAGGCCACTTTCGATATAATAAAATTCAGCATGATAGCGAGGCTTAGACTGTTTAGAGAACACAAACAAAGAAAACGAAGTCACCATGTTTACTATGTTTATTCATTTTCTTTGTTTGTGTCTTCTAAGAGATGATTCGCAACGACGATAGCGCAACACAGCTTTGCAACTGCATTGTTTCGAATGGTTACAATGATTGTTCCAACATTGCAGCGTTGTGTTGTGCTAAAAATCGTCGTAGCCAATCGTCCCGTGTGACATCACCTTTAAGCCCGGTTTACTCTGCAGAAAATTTTTGGCACGGGTCGGGTGAAAATGGCACCGGTCCTTAAAAAAGGGTTCGGCTGGGATAAAATTTGCAGTGTAAACAACCTGAAACAACCGGTCCGCACCAAATTTCATCCGTGCCGAACCAAAATTTTTACCCGTGCTGGGACCTTCGACGAGGTAGTCCCAGCATGGGTGAAAATGGCACGGGTGCTGCAAAAACGGCATGGTTCAGATGGAACAAGTAGTGTAAACACTTAAACGGGCCAAATTTGAGCCTTAATTCATATAAGCTAGCGGTTTTCTTACGTAAATTTCAAGATGGCTGCTCGTTTCTCTACCAAAATCACGCGGACATTCTTGGAAAGAAAGCGACGTAGAAGAATTGATACAATTATGAAAGAAGCGACCAAACGCTCATATCGATGGGTGGATTGGAATTGTCAACATTATAGCCGCAAGAAACATAAAAAGTTTCCTTGTTTTCTTTCCTTTTTTAAGATAGAGGATTCTTCCCGGCAAATTTTTGCCAACTTCGGTGTCCATAGTTGAGCTTTAAACTTCGTGAAACGTCATTCTTAGGGAGCATTCATAATTTACCTAGAGGGTGGGCTATGATGATTTTGAGGGGGGGTCACTCTTTTTCCCTATTATGATTTAGGGGGGGGCTGTGGAAAATTTCCAACAAAAATTACATCGAGCATAGGGGGGGGGCAACATTTTTTTCCTGAAAAAGAAAAGGAAATTAAATATGCTGTTGGACACTCTTATAATTCCTGTATTTTATTTCATTTCGACAAAATGTTGATACAGAACTAGAGTATGAAACTTGAAATTAAAAATGCGTAGAGATTTAATTNGAGATGATCAGGGGGGGCTTCAAAAAAATGAAAAAAATAAGGAAATCATCATAGCCCACCCTCTAGATAAATTATGAATGCTCCCTTAAGAGATACAGCATGAAGGCTTCGTCGTCCACCTTTGCTTCCAATTGAACTTACGTGGTCCCAAAAATTTTGGCACGGTATTTTTGGTACGGTAAAAATGGTATGGAGCCCGGAAACAAAGTTTGCCCAGCTCTTTTTTGGCACTGGCCGAGCCAATTTCACCCGAGCCGTGCCAACAATTTTCTGTAGTGTAAACCTGGCTTTAGTCTACTTCACAGCTGTTTATTGTGTCGTAATGCATTGAGAAGGGCTGCGTAGCGACACAAAGAAAGGCAAAGCAGAACGTATCTAAGACTCGCTGAAATGTAGACCCTCTCAAAGTTCTTCATAAGACAGCTACTGCCCGCGCTTAGCGCCCGTGAAAAAATTTGAACTCGACGTGTAGGCAAGTCTAGCTATAAAATGCTGAATTTAATGTAGCGAAAGTGGCCTATTGAAAGAGCGTTTTCACTCATGTGGCCAGTATGTATACGTAAAATTCAGCTTATAACGAGTCTCAGAGGACACAAGCAAGAGAGAGAACCCTGGGAACGAGGTTGGCAAATTTATTGGAACAAAAGGAAGCATTTGCAGAAAAAAAGCTTGAGTTCAACTCCAACAGGATTTGTTTGGAACATGGCCGCCGTTTCACTGTTTTGGAACACCAATATCACAGTGGCCGCCGTGACGTCATGTGAAAGCGCCCTACAGCCTGAATAAGTCATTTCCAAGTTTCAAAATCTCTCCCTTTCAAAACGAGGCTAAACGGCCATTCTTTCGAAATCTTACTGTCGCGCTTTAATTTTAATTTTTTTAAATCCCTAATATGAAATGGTTTAAAGAATTGTTGTTTTTCACATGACGTCACTAAAATTCAAACTACAAAACTATCGATCCTACTGAGATTTTACTTTCATGATGTATCAGAGAGCAGGTAAAAACTTATTTTCATAAAAATTTCGCCTTAAAAGGGTTCTTGGTTTTGTGATAGAGTACGCTTGAATTTCTAAGCTTTTGCGTGACGTGGCATTTACATGACAGCCGAGAGAGCTGTCATGTAGGTTTAAAAAGTGACGTATTTCGAGGAATTTTGCTATCTAAACATTTCATGTATTAGAAAATGTATTACTTTAATGTTTATGAGTTCCTCGAGGAATAAATTCACGCTTTTGTACCAATACTCGGCAACAGATGTTTTTGTTGGTTTCCGTCCGCCACGTTGGTGCCCATCCACGTGAGCACCAGCATGGCGTCTCCATACAAATCTCTATAAATTTGGGTAAAACATTTCTTCGGATATCTTGTATACGGAATATTCTTCTGCCCTGAATCTTGGCGAGGAACTTGGTACATTTACCTCCCTTCATGTCCCAAATTCTGGACTTTATCTATGGAACGGTTTTGATTTTGATTTTGATCTATTTTGAAAGGCGTGACACTCAAAACCAGCAATAGGAACGTTACTAACAGAGGGTGGGAGAGCCGAGGGTGTAGTATTGATTCAAGAATATAAGACGCAGTAGCGATAATCGGGTAGGAGAATGGCCTCAACCGGATACTTTTTTCCAGTAATGAGATAATGTGTTATATGTGAAATGTGTTATTTCTTTTTGGCACAAATTACACCACAAAATTTACAGGAGCAAGTTTTCCCCCGGGACAGCACTCCGTGAGTGAGGCTTCGCCACACTCGGGTCCAACCCCTTACCCTTTTATTTAGTCGAACTTGCTTTAGCAGAGCGAGACTCAGAAAATGCAGGCGTTTTTTTTCGTGTGTCAGTCCATTTCAGAGTCCCAGGCGTTCTTAGCGGAGACCGTGGAAACTGGGGATAAGGATCGTAACGACTTTCATTGCGTTCAAATGAGTCTCGTGATGAGCATGCGGTTTATTTTAGACGATGACTAAAATGAAGCATTAAGCATTAAGTTACGCCATACTGACGAGCCCCAAAGAGGGCGAAACAGCTGTCTATGGCTACAATCCCGTTCTGTTTTGAGTTCTTTCGGTGTCGTGTTGATGTCTTGCAGAGTTAATTTTCACGTAGTACGATGAGCATTGCAGTATTCTGTTTGCAGGATTCAATATGTCTACTTTTCATTTTTGCTGATCAGGTCTTTATAGATCCTACGTTCTTCGGCATATTCGTTTGCGGTCCTTTGCAGTCCTTTGTGGTAAATGTTTGTACATTTAGTTGATCACGTTTTGGCTGTTTGGCAATGATGCAATTTTACCCGAATCAAGGCCCTTGATTTTCGTGTAATTATACACGCGTATTAAAAGGTAAATACCCTGAAGAATACTCGACCGTCGATGAAGTAGGAATGGAGAAAAAATTATAGCGGGGAAATCCTGTTTTGTGATCTATCGCTACGCTTTTCAGAATATTGACGCAATTACTGGAACTAATATATGATCAGAGATAACCCTTCTCCGCTGTACAAGTTAAATTGCAGGAAATCAAATACTGTAACCACGCATAGCCCAATTTTTAATAAGCTTTCTTAAACTGCCTGTATAAGTGTAGCTAAGTATTTCCTTTATAAGGTGATACTAAAAACATTAATTAACGAAGATCAAAGATCAAAGATCACGCTGCACTGAATTCAATCAAAATCCGGCAGTTGTTCTCTCTCTTTTCTTTGACATCCACGGTCATGAAACGATTTCGGTAACGTTTTAGAGACCATGCGACTGAAAAAACGAATTGATCGCGTCACAGGCTGCCTAGTCTCTTTTGAAGATTCGTTTGACACTTTCTTATCGGACGTAAGATACCCCTTTTTGCATGCCGGAGAGGCTGCTCATTTCCAGAGAAGGGTATTCCCTATAACGGACTATTCCGTCAGTGCTACATGTAAGTTGTAGAGGAAAACAGATTGGATAAATGAAAAATATAGTGTCCTGCAAGCAAAACTCTGGCACTGTCTAAAACTTCTTTCCGTCGAAAAGACATAAATTGTAGTTGTGGGTACCTGACCAGCAATGAAAGGGACGAAAAAACAAAACAAGTAAAAACTAGTAAACCACTATTCCGATTTTCCTGAATCTCAGTTTTATCGGTAAACCTGACAGGAGCCAAATGTGGAACTAGAGTACACTTTGATACCATTACCATTAGCCCGTTCAAAGACCCCCTTTTTTCTCCCAAGGGTCCGTCTGCGTCGAGTGGCCTTATAAAATAACAACCGCGGGGGATTTATTGACCGCTAGCGCAAGGGGGTAGCCGGGGGAAGAAGAAAATAGAGTTCTTCTTCTTTCCTGTGGTCGCTGATGTTGTGGAAAAGGAAAAAAAAAACAACGTATGAATACAGGCTATATCATCATAAAAGCACGCCCTCCCATATCCCGAAATCACGTAGAGCTAGACGTCCGATTTCTGTAAAAGTACGTTCTTCCACTTGGATGTGCGCCATACATTGTAAATCTGTCAGATAGCCCATCCACCTTCGAAGGACTATCGTACACGACAAGGTCTTGATTTACTCCAAGAGTAAAGGTAGTGTCGCAAGGAAGATTTGCTGGGATAATGATTTTGAATGTTTCTGGCTGTGTGTAGTTTAAAATGAAATAATCGAGGAGGCCGTTGAGAAGAAGATGGATGTGTCCGTCCTTTATCTTTGCTTCCATATGATTTATAATAGGGATTCCCTCAACCAGGAAAACTCCAAGAAATGGCTTTGTATCGGGAGGGTTCACAATTTTCTGGATAAAATATAAGATGAAAAACATTACAACATTTTAAATTTGGATTAAACACAAAAGTAAAAGGACCGATATAGGTGGAATATGATCGGCCTCTTCCCTTAACTTCTTTCTGCCTGTACCACTTTGTTTCAGCGATACAAGTTAAGTGGTGACTGTACATATCTAATCGTCTTTAAGAGCCCTGGCGTAATTCTTCAGGGATAGTTTGAAGTCACGGGAAAGTTTCATATTTGAGCCTGCGCATTGGCTACCATTTGGCAGAAGGAAGCAGCTATCTGCCCGGATGAAGGCTATACATACCAGATAAACCAACTCAATGCTCGAGTCGTCTCCCCGTGATGACGTNAGGAAAACTCCAAGAAATGGCTTTGTATCGGGAGGGTTCACAATTTTCTGGATAAAATATAAGATGAAAAACATTACAACATTTTAAATTTGGATTAAACACAAAAGTAAAAGGACCGATATAGGTGGAATATGATCGGCCTCTTCCCTTAACTTCTTTCTGCCTGTACCACTTTGTTTCAGCGATACAAGTTAAGTGGTGACTGTACATATCTAATCGTCTTTAAGAGCCCTGGCGTAATTCTTCAGGGATAGTTTGAAGTCACGGGAAAGTTTCATATTTGAGCCTGCGCATTGGCTACCATTTGGCAGAAGGAAGCAGCTATCTGCCCGGATGAAGGCTATACATACCAGATAAACCAACTCAATGCTCGAGTCGTCTCCCCGTGATGACGTTTTGTGTGATGCTATCACAATGCTAGGCTCGATTACCAGCCGCTGTTCGGGAAATGAGCCCGCGCTTCTCCCGCGGAGGAGGACCGAGAGAGCGGCGGAGATCAAGCCTATAGTAATGCCTTCGAGTGCAGTACGGGTTTCATAAGGAGCTAAGTGTCAATTCTACACAAGAGACAAATGCAATAGCCTGAGAAAACAGGCGACATTTTGCGACTCTTACACCAACGGTGGTTTCCCGCGAAATGCCGTCTGAGAAACGATCGAGCGCAGAAGGTCCATACTGTTGACGTGCAACTCTAGCTACCCAGATCTGGGTAGTGCTAATCGTCTTTAAGTGAGTCCTTGCGCAATTCTTAGCGTTATTATTTTTGTTTCTTATATCTGCGTGATGGCTATGCTTTTGTGGATTATTTGAAAAAGCCAGATGGAGCCTCCATCTCCATTAATTTCTTGAGTCAACCCTTTCCCGAGTAGATTTATAAATAGAACGGCTTGTTTCCCGGGAAAAGTGTCATATTTCCGTGAGCCTCGTATGTCATCGTGAAAAAAGTTTGGATGAAGTCGAACTCAGAAGCCCATCCTTCGACCGTTTTCCTTTTTACTATACGTCCATTTTTATGATTTTACAGCCGCTGAGATCTGGGTATCATGAAATAAAAGTTAATGAATTACCCGAATGAGACTGAGCATGAAGCGATGGGACAAAGGCAGCGAACTGAGGATCACTGAAAGTTATCTTTGCGAGTGTTTTTATATGTCGTCATATATTCAACATGTAAGCATGCACTTCGAAAAGAGTCGACGATTCAGCGTTCTGTGGACGATTTGGAACTTTTCGATGATCAGCGCCGAAAAAGTGCCAGGATCATCATTTGATTTTTGTCATCACCGTGGAGTGGATTTCGCCAGTTAAGCACCGCGTGCAAAAGCGATGACCTAAGTAGCAACTAACGAGGAATGCTTTATTTCCGAAATTTGAGAAATTGCAGTCTTCCTCTACAACTGACTTGCATCACCATGAGAGTTGCCTGATAAAACTGGCACTTGAAAAGTTGAACAGAAGAGAAAAGTTGCTCGACCGTGAAGCTAACTGAAAAGTAATTTGCTAGGGAGGAATTTGTGACATCGCGCTCCAGTCCAAAGACCCACTTGTCTCAAGAAAAACAAAATGGATTGTATCTGCGACAAAATAATTATGATTGACTGACAGGACAATTCTCAGCAGTTGATGTAGAAGTTTAGGCTCAGTTCTTTCCTTCGAATTCGCATCTGTAGATCACTTTTTTGTGAGAAAACAATGGCTGGGCCCGGCGTTACAAAACATAGCAGGGAATCATCACACTANGACGATTTGGAACTTTTCGATGATCAGCGCCGAAAAAGTGCCAGGATCATCATTTGATTTTTGTCATCACCGTGGAGTGGATTTCGCCAGTTAAGCACCGCGTGCAAAAGCGATGACCTAAGTAGCAACTAACGAGGAATGCTTTATTTCCGAAATTTGAGAAATTGCAGTCTTCCTCTACAACTGACTTGCATCACCATGAGAGTTGCCTGATAAAACTGGCACTTGAAAAGTTGAACAGAAGAGAAAAGTTGCTCGACCGTGAAGCTAACTGAAAAGTAATTTGCTAGGGAGGAATTTGTGACATCGCGCTCCAGTCCAAAGACCCACTTGTCTCAAGAAAAACAAAATGGATTGTATCTGCGACAAAATAATTATGATTGACTGACAGGACAATTCTCAGCAGTTGATGTAGAAGTTTAGGCTCAGTTCTTTCCTTCGAATTCGCATCTGTAGATCACTTTTTTGTGAGAAAACAATGGCTGGGCCCGGCGTTACAAAACATAGCAGGGAATCATCACACTAGCTGACGGACAAAACAACCACAAGGACTACAAGTATTTTTTCAGATAAACGGATTTCGGAAAAAAAAAACTTGAAAAACTAGAAATTTGATTAATATTGAGTCATTTAGCCGAAATAATAACCTTAACGCTTACAAAAATTGGGTAAAGAAAACGAATCCTGTCAGAATTACAGACTGCAGGTAGTAGTTAATCATTATGCATCTAACAGACCAGCTTCATGGTCTCTTAAAGTGAGACAAGCAGCCAAAATAAAGATTAACATAGTCAGAGTTTAAAACTCTCCACAGTATAATCTACCGGCTAGAAAGAAAAGAAAGAAAATCTCTGAACGCTTAAGTCACGTTTCCTGATCGCAGGTTACGTTTCACTAGCTTATGATTGTGTTTGGCCTGTCAACACCGAATTTCCTGTCGTTTGATGAAGTACAATAGCAGTGTCATTTCGTCGTTGTGATTGGCTCTTCCCACCGTCGGTGCGCGAAGTCTCCCCTGGGAACCGTTCTAATTATAAATCTACTCGGGAAAGGGTTGATTCCAAGGGCTTGTATGGGAAATGGGGGCTCCATTTGATGGGCTCCTGAAAAAGCGCAAATGCTTCTCATTGGCTGCAAATCTGCATAAGCACTACCCATATCTGGGTAGTGACACGCCATCAAAATGGAATTTCTGCGCTCGTTTTTCATACGTTATTTCGTGGAGAAACCACCAGTGGCGTCGCGAAATGGCGGCTGTCATTCTCAAGCTATAGAGAGAAGGGAAAGAGAATCCGAGTGAGATCCTCTCTCTTTTCAACTTAAGCTCTCCCTCAGTCCATAAAAGAGAAGCTACGCACCTGCATTTGGACATTAGTCAGAGCTTCCTTAAATGCGGGGAGGATCTTGGTGGTAAAAGTGCTTCTCACTTCATTGGCGAGTTCTCCGCAGTTTGTACACAAGATGTTCATCGCTACAGAAAAGTAAGTAGAAGTCGAAAATGTAATCCACCAACAGCGCGAGTGCACCGTGAATAATGATGATAATATGAATACATGTATTGGAGCCACGGGATGAAGAAAAAAATGCAAAGAAGATCATCCCAGTTAGAATCGCATCTTATGCAGTTGCGAAAAGAAAGCCTGAAAATTCAGGTTGGCTAAAAATTGAAACATGACCTCTGCGATACCGGTGGTAGCAAGCTAACTGGGAGATGGTCATTAAATTGGTTTGTAATAGGGAAAGATGAAGACGAAATGATTTCATATGTTGAAGATCATCTTCTTTGCGATTATCTTCTTTGCAATTATCTTCTTTGCATTTATTACACCCCAAGACTATTTGCTTCCCTGAATGTACATGTCTTCATTATGTGTAAACTCACAGTTACTAAACTAGTCTGAAACTAATCATAGTTACTTCATTTGTTCTCAGTAATTGACGTTTAACTATTAGACCTCTTATATCATGAAAAGAAGCGGCAATGTCAGGATTCCTAAATATAAGTGATATGCGTGCATCTACGTGTATTGCGAGCAGTCTCTCGTTTTCTTCACATCTAGAATAGTGAGGGGAGTGCACGCCTTGAGACACGAGAAACAAGGGAGGCAGCCCGAGAAGAAAAAGAATATACTTCTCCCATAGCCAGAGCAAATGAATTGTGCGTTGCTGATGCTTGAATCGTTGATAACAAACTATCAACAATCCGTCAAAACCATTTCACACCTCTCCCATTTCGCGCCTTCAGTTATGCGCGTGGTCGTATCTCGCGCGTTTCGCTTGATTAGGTGGAACTGCTCTTGGTTTAGCATCTGCAAACCTTCAAAGAGCCCCGACCTTTTTCATGTTCTAAACGTGACAGACCGTCTTACAATTTCTGTGATTTGCTTTCCAACGATATTCCTTTGTTCGCAAACGTCTCCACACGGCACTATATAGGTAGCACTTATAGGTAGGGTTCCTACTCCTAGCATCCAAGGTTTTTTTTTGCCTGAAAATTTGCTTTTCTGGACCATAATTGCTAGCAATCTACTCCGCTTTGATTGGCTTAGAGGTCTTCGGCGAACAAAAAAATTAGATAGTCTGAAATTTAATTTACTGCAACTCAAGAGCGACCTCGTCCTGAGGACTTTTGCCTTAGAAAATGGGAGGGGCGGAAAAAGTTTACCTAAGGGAAAGGCCCTGGGGACAAACTTGTTGTGGGGAATAAGAGACCTTACGCGACAAGAACCTTGACGTCCGGAACGGCAAAAATGACAACCGGAAGTTAACATTTTCGATCTCTCTTTCAATGCTCTAACTCGACAAATTCGTACAACGGGGGTTCTATTAAGGGAATTCAGATTCGTTGGTCAGACAGAAGCGTTCCATTAAGTGAAGCATCCACCTTCCGGTTGCTATTCATGATGTCCGGGAGCTCAGTGAGTCTCGATGCTTAAGCTCTCTACTGTGTACTGTGTCTTTTAAGGCTTGTGTAATTCAAGCCATACACGGTAGCTTTGCGAGCGCACTCAGAGCACAAGATGTGGGTTGTACAGAATATTAAGGATCCTTACCAACTTTCATCTCTGGAAGTATTGAAACAATTGAATCATAGCCATAAATGTAGCCGCTTTTCTGTCTTATAACCATGTCATCGAGTATTTTCATTTCCCATGGCGTTCCAACAACATCACCTTTTCCATCTGGAAGAATGTAACCTAAAGTAAAGAAATAGATATACGAAGTTAACCAATCAGTCAACATAGCTAATGAAATGTAAAAATGTACAGATGGCTTAGCTACTAACAGGTAGATCATCAGTTCAGTACCTGGCGCAAAAAATGAATCCGTATACCCTCTAGGCAGATATCTGTTGCTTGATCCTTCTCTGAAAAGAGCTATCTCCAGCTGAAAGTGAGCATGCAAAAATAAAACAAATTAATACTTAAATTTCTCAAATTGTTACCCCCTAGTAACACGACAAGACAGGAGCTGATTACTGCACGAGGGAAATGGCTGGCCCCGATGAGGAGGGTTCAGTCCTGTCCGTGCACGAACTCTGTGAAATTTTAAATGTCCTGGCTTATATTAAAGTACAATTTAAAATGCCTCTTATCTTGTTGCAGAAACCTCCGTGCCGAATACATGGTAACGTAATTGAATTTAGGGCAACATATCATATCCACGCGCAAATTTTTCACCAGGGTGTAAAAATAAAAGAACGAGGGAAACACTGATGTCTTGCCTCCGCGGAAGGGGGGACTCACAGATAAAATTGATGGTTACGTTGGGGTTGGTCTCATTTAGGGTGTTAAGGGCGGAAAGTTAACATTTTTACCCATACGGTTACCGCTGGTTTAGGGTTGTGAGTAAAGAAGATCTCATAAGTGGGTTGAGCATGATCGTCCGGGTGAACTTAGTCCAGAATAGGACTGTTGTTGGCAGTAAATGGCGTTTCGACAACCTGTGCGGTAGTCATCTTTAGAGCATCGAGTTGTATCACGTCAGTTAAACTCGGACAGGTTATTGACCGGACTGGTATATTAGGTCGCGATGTAGTTATAGCTCGTCTGTCAGTTAACCCGTGACATTCATAGCCAATAACATCACAGCTTAACTCACAGACGACCGATAATTGACCAATACTTAATTCAACCAATCAGGTCAGTAACCAGAGTTTAATACCATCAACTGACGAGATGCAACTCACTTTGACTTTGAAGATGCATTACCGAACAGGTTGTCGAAACGTCTGAGCAACTTCCAACAACAGTCTTATTCAGAACTACACTCACCGAGACGATCATGTCCCACCTTCCTGAAATGTCAGACTTTTGGTTTTAAACCTTTCACTTGCGAAGAAAAAATCTTTATACAAAACCAAATCCCGTCATATTGTGCATGGTTTCCTTTGGGGTCTAATTTAGCCTGATTTAGCGTGATTCACACCCAGTTTGGTGTCCTTTAGGGGTGTAGTAATAATTTTCAGACGAATACCCCCACCCCCATCCTTTTCATATCGGAGTCCCACACACTCTTTGGTTTTTCACCTTAGCTAGATCTGCTACAGTGGAGAATGCACCACCGCCTGGATTTAACCAGCCCCATTCTAGAACACGGTGGAATTCTCCTTTCTTGCTTAAGTAGCCAACTGGAATACGCTGCTTAAGACTGAAAAAATGGAAACGAAAAATAAGGTGTTATCAATTTAGTATATGATGACCTTAGATTTAGATTTGATTTAGATAACATAACATTATAGCAAATTTTAAAAAATAAATCATGTCGTAGTCATTGTCATTTGAAGTCAAAAAATTCAGACTAAATTGTGGATGAAATAACGTGTATATGAATTTCATATATCAGAACAATGTTGGAACTGCGGAGTGAAGAAATGAATGCAGAGAAGATCTTCGCAGTTGAAGGCACAACTTATGCAGTTACAAAATTTAATTAATGACCAGCTCCCAGTAACGCAGGGTTGGGGTCGGGGTCGGGGCCGATGCTGGGGTCTATCTTTTTTTTAAAGAATGCTTTTTTAGGGTTAGGGTTAGGGTTAGAGTCAACCCTAACACTAAAACAGCATTCTTTTAAAAAAAGATAGACCCCAATTCCGATCCCGATCCCGATCCCGATCGCGACATTGAACCCGCCTTTTACTGACACCCTTCCCAGTTGAGGGTCAGGGTTCGAATCCCGGCAGCCTAAATTATGGAGGTGGGTAGTAAAGTCGTCATGCAATTTGCGTATCCTTTTCAGTTCTTCGAAGACATCAAAAGGGACACCTTTCCAGACAACATCAGCGAAATTCGGTTAACCATGCTAGATAGAAATTTGGGGAAAGGGTTTTATCATGGAATTTCGTTCGGGAGGGATCGCCCTTCGTTAGTAAGTAGCAAATTAAGTGCTCAATAACACATTATTTCACAAGAAAAAGCTTACACGTTCCTTCAGAATTGTTTCCAATTCATGATTTTTACATGCTGGGGTCAATTTAATAAAACTTTTACAAGTGTAATTTACGAGTGTAGCTATTGTCTTCAGAGTCCAAAACAATGGCTGCACTTGTAAACTAAAACGCATTGTTAAAGGAATCACAAGACATGCTTTCTGATTCAAATGTTACGGTGTTATTATTTAATTTGTTAAAAAGGATTTTTCATCATAGATTACTGTAAATCATATCTGGAAAATCCTACCTCGCATCCAAATTGAAGGTTGTATCTGTCATTCCAAGGGTGACTAACAAATTGTCTCTCATCCATTCTTCAAATCCGCCACCAATTCTGCCAAACCTTGTACCCAGTACTCGGCCGAGTAGTGCAAAACCCAGGTTACTAAGAAGGAAAAGTTTCGTTATTTTCGTTTTCAATCAACCTCGTTTTTTTGGTGTCCCGCCCCAGTGTTATCATTTGATCAAAACGGGGGCTGTAACTTCAAGCCAATGCGGATCAAGGATATTTTCAATTGAACCACAGCTCATTTCAGTTTCCATCGTAACTATATCACTGCTCAATGCAGGCAACAACTTCAACAACAATGAACTTTATTTTATAATTTACTTGACAAGTTAACTTTTATTGTATAGTATTACAGTATTTACAGAGCCCACAGTACTGCAAAAGGCACAAATTAAATTCTTGATTCTTTGAATACATATTAAATAATAAGATGTTAAAAAAGAAAAAGATCGAAAAAGAAAAGAAAAGAAAAGAAATCACAGCTTATTTTCAAAGATCCACGGGGTACTTATTCTGGAGACCGGGGGGGTGGGGGTACTTTAGGAATTTCTGGGCGGGAATGTGCCGCTGGGACCCTGGAACCCGTAACCTATACCAGAGCTAGTTCAGCTGAATTTTGCTACTCTATACTAGAGTAGACTCCCCAAATCCCCCCTATCCTAGAGTAGCTGTTTCCCTAGTCTAGATAAAATCTTCAACTAACTGATCAGTTTTCTGAAAAATGATACCCTATTCTATACCCAAACGCTCTGATTTATATACCCTATCCTAGAGTAAACTGCTTGAAAACCATACCCTTCACAGCGGCACATACCTATAAAACTCATATATGGCAGTATCCCCCCCCCCCCGGGTTCTGGATAAGTTTGTCTCTCAATTCATACCCCGGGGGTTCTCTTTTATACAAGCCATATAGGTATGTTTTCGAAAGCAAAATCAAGCTTTGTGTAACGAAATTGAAGAATTAAAGAACAAACTACAGAAAGTTACCGACGACCTGTCAAAAATTAACATGGCCGACACGCGAAAAAGGAATTGTCACCAGGAAAAGCGCATTCAATTGAATTTATGTCAAGCCAATATGGCGACTTCATCCGCTTCAAAGTGGAAGCTGAGAGGCAAATTCAGGGGCTCGACTCAAGAGTTAACGAAATTTCAATCAGTCTTGCCAATCATATTAGGAAATCTATCGAAGCCTCAGAAGCGTACAGTTATCAATTCAACATTAAAATCGTGGAGTCAGGGGACAAGGACGTTTATATCATGGGTGATTTTAATATAGATCTACTCAAGTGTGAATCATCTCAAATAAGCGAGGATTTTTTACTCTCTCTGCAAAGCTGTTATCTTATTCCAACAGTGGACCAACCTACGCGCGTTCATAGAACTTCTGCTACGTTGATTGTTAACAATCCTGACAAACTCCTTACTAGCGGAAACATTATTTCTGATATTATTGATCATTTTTCGCAGTTCTGTATCCAGACCAAAATGAGTCGGTCGAATTCAGTAGATGTTATAGTAGTCGTACAAATGGGATTTTAGGTTCTGGAGGTTGAGAAAGAAAGCAGATTTTATCTCGAAATTTAAGTTTACGTGACATACATTGTTTCAATTAAAAGTGAACATGAATTTTGTTGAAAAAAAGAGTTCACAAAGAACGCAAGTGATTGTTGTATTGTTTGCACTTATATGAACGGTGTTGTAGGCCGTGTTTAGTGAGTATAAAGTTACTGATTTAATTTGGTGCCAAGGAAAGAGTCATAAAGTCCTCCGAGTGGCTACTATACAAATTCCAAAATACTTGCGTTATGATAATGGCGAAAAAGAGGGGAGGAGACGGGAGAGGGGCGGGGGGTGGGGAGGGAGGAACAGTTGACACTATATAATGATCGTGATTGCCAACCTGTACTGAGGTTCTTTTCCAGGTTCATTTAGTAGAGTTGTATTCTTCAGTCTTTGTATCATCTGATCTTGAGTATAAGGACAGAGATTATCCTTTGTATCTGGAAAACATGGCGCCTCCCTTGGTAGACCTGAACGATGCGATGCAAGCTGTCTGTAAAGTCAGAACGATAGAGCGATTTTCGCATGTCCTTGAAATGAAAACGCGCGAAGAAAAAAGAAACAACAAACGAACGGAAATAGAGCGATTTGATTGGTTTATTGAACGGGTACAAACGAGGGTAGCTTTTCGCTGGTTGAACGAACGCTCGGGTGAAAAAAACTTCATGCCTAAAACCTTTCTGGAATTTAACCGATACTTCGCTTTGACTTCATACTGCAATACGATTGGCCAATCGAACAATGCCTTCTCAATATTACAGTTTTCTTTGGCGGGAAAACAAAGAGGCCAAGAGGCCAAGTTTGGATCTTTTCATCCATTGGCTGACAAAACAAATGATGAACATTTCCTGAATGATGTAAAAAGTTCCAGTATACTTTTAACGAGATAGTTCTCCTAATGAAACGATTGAAAATTTCGAAAACTATTCAAAGAGCAGCCGAATAACGATGCTTTACATTACACTTCCTTTCTTATGTCAAAGTAGACTCACCTTAAAGTAATTGGTGCGTTATTAAAAGGATTTTTCACAGAAAAGTCAAATTGATAGTTGGTCACCGGATCATCAAGAGATCTAACGGACCCTTGACTGTATAAATTGTACAGCATTAACGTCTAAAAAATCAAACATGCACCTTTCATTAGCCATGCACAATGTTTTTTTTTTATGCATTCAGATTTCCCTTTTCCACGGTGTATGTTTCAAGCTTTACTGAAGGTCGAAAGTAAACTTTCAAGAAAAACCAGCGCTTAGACATAATTGAGGGTTTAGGAACTAGTCTAAATCCCAAGTTCAAACGTCGATCTTTTCATGTACCTAACTTAATTTCTATTTAGGTCGACCCAAATGATATAAGTTCGACGGTTGATTCAGACGTTGAACTTAATTAGTCGGACTCAATTCATTTTTACGATGTTCAATGGTCTGAAATGCCTACAAGCAAAAAATAATATATATTTTTAGTAATTTATGCATTAGGTTCGACACATGAGATGTGGGCCACTCGATCTTAATTCATGGGTCGACCCAAATTAGATATGTCGAAATTAATTGATTCAAACGTCGATCTTTTCATGTACAAAATTGAAGGGATTAGGTTCGGTACATGAAAAGATCGACGTTTGAACTGGGCCTGAGAACATCATCTTTCGCCATCGTGTCAGGCCATTTTAACTATTTCACACATCCTAGGGTCTAAAATCGGTGTGTTCCGGGACTATCAAGAAGCGGGACTGTCAATGAACGAATACTTCTTACGGGTTACTATTCACGCAATTCTTTCCACTTGAGGTTGATTTCCACTGACTCGCTTTTGGCTACGCATCTTAAAGCACGTAAATTTTAATCACGTAAATAAAATAGAGGCAAGATAAAAAGTACTGAGCTTAAACGAGAAGTTGAGCGAGGTTCAACTTTTACGCTTACGAGCGACCTTTCATGCATTGCCTCTATTTTATTTGCGAACGTAAATTTTACGCAAGTACACACGTAAAATTACTCGACACTGGAAATCAACCGTTACAGCTGGAATTTTCCACTTACAGGGATTATTGCGAGAATCTGATACATAAACCCGTCACTGTCAAACGGTAATAAGCTACCGTAAAGTTCCGAAAATAAGCCCCGGGGTTTATATTTTTCAAAGGCCCTTTTTGAGGGGCATATTTTTGCAGGGTCTTACGTACGGAGAGAAATTTACTTTTCAAAATCGACTCGGCCAGCTTGTAGTGTATTCGAGGGCAAATTGCAAGTACAAGCCCCCCCGGGGGCTTATATTCGGAGGGGCGGATTTAACAGAGGGGTTTTTGCGTTACGATTTTGGGGGGCTTATCCATTGAGGGGCTTATTTTCGGAATTTTACCGTATTTTCACGATGACAACATTAAGAATTTGCTTTATTATTGAAATCAGTCAGTCCCACTGAGGTTTAAAAAACATTAGCCTTGATTTGCACAAGAAGACAACAAACTGAAGGATTCTGGTAGTTGTAGTAAAATGACTTCAGATCGTGATATTGTCCTATTTCGATGACCAAACAGGTTAAACAGGACCCAAATTAAAAAACCCACTAATCTTTTAGCTACAAAATAACCTTAATATCGCTTATCATTTGCAGAAACAATAGAAAAGCGGGGTTTTTTCTCGTAAAATAAAAAAAAATAAAAAACTATGATGTCTCGTATCTTACCGTGAGGACCTTGGATACACTTGCTATTGGAAAAATAGTTTTTGATGTTGGTTTCCTCTTAATGGTTTCAGAGTTGTTCATGACCCCAAACTCCCTTTGCCAAATTACCTTGTCCATATACACAATGTTGACGCTTACAGCTTTCTACAAGTACATAAAACAACTAATCATTACAATTACAAAATTCGTTATTAGCGCGTACATTATCCCTAAGGGACAACTACCTCAACACTGGCCGCAATCAAAAACTTTGTAAGCGCTATAAAATAATTCAAAGGCTGGTAAACGTGGAATAAACTAAAACTCAGGAGGTTTAAGGGATCAAGAAGGGAGCCCAACGGCCGAATGCCTGAGTCATGGAGGGATCCACTGGTTATTCAGTTCTAACGTTTGAGTGTAGAAAGAAAGTTTGAGTGAAAGAATCCTCAAACTGCAGTGTGAAACAGCAGCTGGGAGTGAATACCCATTGCTGCATTTTGATTGAACAAAGCTTAGTAGAGTTTGCCAGCATCGCCGGGAGGATCCATCATTACCGCCGGCAAAGCGCGCGTTGGCAGAGGATTTGCGAAACCGTGCAGAGAATGGGGAGCAGACGCTTTGAATCAGTTTCTCGCGGTCACCTGACACACTCCCAAGAGTAACAATTTCCGCCCACTAGGCAGGCTGGGTAGAGGTAAGTTACATTGTTTTCACCATAAATTTATTTAGTTGTAAATAGAATTTTACATCTCACTTTTGGGAGTTGGCCTTGAAAACTCTTCAGGTTACTCCAACTCCCCCAACTTATAGTTTCTGCGTGTATATGCCACTCTAATAAAGGTTACTTAATGCCCCTTTTTGTCATGAACTTTTGTTTTACCAATGAAAAGTGAAATAAAACTGGCCAAGATTATTCTCTCTTTACCTGACTTGTCTTGTCATGAAGAGCGTAAGAGGGAAAAAAAATAACAATACCTTAATTACTGAAACAAAAAGAGACACATCCATTAACAACAAGACAGGACTTACCGGTCCTTCGTTTACCACTTCTGCGTTAATTAAGGACACTAAAGAACTCAACTCCTTCAATACATTTGCTGGCAGCGGATTAAAAGCGACTGGTTTTGGAAGAGGTCTGCAGTCGAGCTTTTGTTTTGTAGGTGGAACACCTGTCTGTCAATAGGACACAGAACTAACTGTTATGTTTCATCACTCTTAGGAGTTACAATGAACAGAATAAATTAGTCGGCCCAGTTGGTAGAGCACTGCCGCGCTTAAGTAGTGGCCGTGACCACAGCTAGCAGAGGAGACGGGTTATGAAATCCGGCAAATATCAAAGATAAAAAAAAAATCGTTGCCGCAGTTTAGTTGGAAGCTCTCTGACGTTCACAATCCTTTATTTGTTTTTTTAAATTGTGACTGAATAAAAGAGTGCGATGAGTTATATCGGTCAGTAAGTTCCAAATGATCAGGAATGCTATTGAACGTTGTCCACGGTCAAGTTTAAAACAGCTAATAAAAACGTGTAATAAAGACCTTTGTCGGGCTTCATACCCATTTCACTTTATTAACTATGTTATGACTGAGTTTGAATCCCGTTGATACCCAGAAAATTATTTTCGGGTTGATTTGCAATTGCTTAAATTTCATTTCAATTTGTATTTCCAAAGTTCATATCATCTTCATTACAAAATAATGTTAGCTAGGTCAAAAAGAAAAGAGCCCATGGACTAGGTTGGCTTGAAAAAAAAGCTTGAAAGCTGCCAAGTCAGCCATGATACATGACACCACGAAGGTTCAGAAAAAAAGTAATAGTTAGCCAATCAAACACTAACGCAGAAAATGCGTGAGGGGCTGGGAGAGAAAGGACGTTATTCTCCCGCCCCCGCCCGTTCCCAATATCACGCACGTCCAAGCCTGCGTAGCAAACGTTTCCGTTTGGTTTCGGAGCAAAGCAAGACTGAGGAACAGGGTTTTCGGTTTTAGACGCACGAAAAATAAATCGAGAGTCGAAAAATGAAAGAGAGGGCAGAGGGTGGGGAAGGAATGAAACGCTTGCAGACAAACCCCAGGATTTTGCAAACCCCGCTCGATAGCGAACGGGGCGCCTGTTTGGCTTGGCTAGTCGAACAATATTGACATGCGTCGATCAATGGTTTGTTTCATACTTTTCTTCCCCACCCCCTCCCCGCTCTTTTATTCGCGTCATTTTTCGTGCGGTCTGTGACTCTTGTTCCTCGTTCTTTGCTCCGAAACCGCACGGGAACGCTTGCTACGCAGGCCGCAGTACGTGAGTCTTTTTTCCCCTTGATCTGACCCTGTTTTCGTGACGTCTGTACTCTCTAAGAGCCTGGCACAGCCTACTTTCTAACTAGAGGCGATATCTTGCGCAGTGAGAAGTGCGACAAAGTAGAACATGTTTACTCACCACTGGCTGGCTATTTCCATTTGTTTTGCCCGCGTTTCCCTGTTCATTTTTTCTGGCATACAACACAATCATAACAATAGACAGAATAATAAAGCACAGCAATAATAACAGAAGAACACAAGTTTTTCCACGTATGCTGCGCTGCTTCTTCTTGGGAGGCAAAAAGCCAACTGTACTAGCACTTGTTGAGATTGTAGTAGGGCGTCTTGGCGCTTCATTTCTGTAAACGTACGGGGGCTCAACTGGTTTTTCCTTGTACAAATATGATGCTTTCGGTGGCCGGTTCGCGTTATACACGTCTTGATCGAGGTGTGGGTCAAACACAGATGAATTGCTGCCTATGAATGAGGAGGTATGAGGGCGCTCGGCGGGATAATCAGAGAAAGCGTTGTTCATGATCCCGTTGGCTTTGTACTGGTCTTGTTTTGAGGTGGCTGTTTGGGAAAATGTATGAGAGTCAGAAGTGCTTTTACCAAGACTTTCTATACACCATCCCCCGGATCCCGTCAAACGCCGGGAGATAAACCCTACTAACATGGACTTCTTTTTCTGCAGCGATTTTTAAAAAAAAAAAAAACCTGCTAAATTAGTTTTTGGTAATAAAGGTTGACTAATAAATTGCAAAAGAAATTCTGAGGATGTCAATTTAACCCTCCTTGAAACTCTTAAACTAAAGATAACCACCCGAAAAATATATGCAAGGTGACAGTCTTTCAATCATGTTTCATCCTTTTTGTGATTGGTTAGAACAATTTTTGGTTGACCAAAACAACAAGCTATGACTGTCTATTCACACGCCGAACTTAATTACAAGAAGTGATATAGAAAATTACTGAAATTGCCAAATATACGTGATAATTAATTATGCATTAGGCTCTGGACAATATAATTTCTGGTTACTTTTCGAAGTTTTAATAGAGTGTTTTCTCTCACGTGGCCAACATCTATGCAAATTCATTGGAACAAAAGAAAGCGCCAGTACATAGTTTAAATCCCACAAGACTGGCTTGGAACACCAGTATGGTCGCCGTTCGGTATTGTTTAGGAACACCAATATGGTCGTCGTGACGTCACTATAGGCCAATATAGGCCCCCTTTGCAGAACTTGGTCACGTGCATGGATACCACATAGCAACGACTCTCTGAATGGCAAGCCATCCAACGGTTCATTCCGATCAGCCTCGTCCTGGCAAAGCTTGCAGTGCTCAGCTTATTTTAGTGCGATCGAACGAAATTCCTAGAATAATTGGTTTGTCGAAAAGTAACCGAAATGACTGGCGTAGAAGACTTAAAAGACACTTTGATTAACTTAGGAAGGCTTCGCCTGATCGCACTCAAAGTTTTGTGATCTGAATTAACGCTCGGATGGCTTGCCATTCAGGTTGCTGAAACTAAGTTTTGCAAAAAGCCTGGCATTCGAACTAGGTTCTACCTTTTTGTTTATTAATTTATGAACAATATGAGTTCGGGGAACGGGTCAGTTTCTTTCCCGATGTCGCATTATTTTGTAAATGCATTCATTTTCTTGGTAAACACAAACAAACTGTGTAACTTCTCGATCTTGTAATTTGTTTCGAAACTTTCCTTTTGTTATTCAAATATTCCAGCTATTGAAACAAAAGGTATTTTGATGCTTTAATAGTGAATGCGGTTTGCTGACCGTAAGAAGTTCTAAGTTACTACGGGCTGTTGACGATTCGGGCCTAAATCTTAAGATGACTACTAACATTGATTTTATCCGTGATGTAGATATTTTATATTTTTCTTAATATTATTTTTTTGTACTTTAAGCACAATCCAAACCATTTATGAGCGAAAAATTGCGTTTAAAACACAGTCAAAATATTGAGAGTCAGACAGTGAAGAAATCTCACCAAAGTTAACTTTTTCAATTAGTCTTTTTTTTCGGCACAAATATTTCCCATGCGAGTATGTTTACCTTCATTAAATTTCAAGTCACGCCAACGTCTGCGAGTTTTGTTTTAAAATTCTTTTGTTACTAAATATCTTACAGTAGACAAAAGAACTCCAAGAGTGCTATGTTTTCCTTGTTTTCTTCCCTCCTTTTGTTTTTGTGTCATACTGACCTGGAAGTACGAAGCCGCGGCAAGTTTATCATTTATCATAGTTTTCGGAAAGTTGCTTTGCTCCCAAACTAGACTAAATGGCCCTATTGAAACAGGAGTGAACCCATCTGAAAAGATCTTTTGCCAGTTGAAAGCCGGCGTTATTTATCTAAGACAATATTTAAAGGACTTATTATGGTAGCTCTAGAAAAGGACAAGCTTTGATTAAACAATTATTCACTACATACGAATTAGCATCAACCTGATCAACGAATTGAGGAGGCTTTCGCTCCTTTGTACCGGATATTTAGTTTGATAGTTTGTTTTACTTTGCGGCCTGTCAATAGATCAATACTGACGCACAGATTCATGTACATCGAGTTAATTAAAACCACAATCGCTCATCACGTTTTGTCTTTGACCGTCAGCGAGGAAATATTGAAGCTGTCACTAATTCAATGACCCTTGCGGGAAACATAGAAACTTGCGCCCTTTTTCTATCATGTTCAGTTTAGAAAAGCCTAAAACTGGAGTAATATTTGTTTTACAAGAAGTTAATGAGACACAATATCGTCTGTACATCGCATTAAGAACGATTTTGATGATGATAATACACAGTATTTGATACATGATAAACTGAATGCTGGGGGACACAAACGCGGTCGGTACATGTCCAGTGAAACGCTGATACACATCATATACACTTCAAATCCGGGCTCGTTTGAAGTGGACTTGAACCAAAGTCGATCACGGAAGCGTAAAACAGAACTTAAAATGTTAAAAACTGACGAATATTAATTTGCGACGGAATATATCGCGGTAAAGTATTATCGACATTATCGCGTTAAGCTATCCGCATTAGTTAGCACCTATTAACGGAGGAAGTATTTACACAATGTAACCGAAATGTTACTTGGCATTACTCTGAGATCACGCACGATCATATAGTTAAGTGAAGGCGTGCACTCCAGGGCGAAAGAGCACCCACTGACATCGGATAAACAAGCCTACTGATTAAGTTATTAATACAGAAACGTCTAAGCGCTCGGTTGAGTGAGTGCCGAAGGGTTGGTGTGTATTGAGACCTCCCATATCGACGTGAAACACAGCTGTTCTTTAAATGAACAGCAAATAACACATGGTAATTCACATTTCCGAGAAGAACGACAACTGATTTGAAGCCATACCTGCGTTATATTGCTTTTGTAGTTGAGGAGAACTGAAGAAAATCCCTTGTAGTGCCATTTTGTTCAAAAAGTCTGACTCACTCTCTGACTAATGCTAAGTCGTTAAATCATGTGTGTCATCGAGTCCTTTATATGCAAGGGCATAAAGATTATAGTGGAACCCAGACCCTCTTTCCTATCTTTTGAATATTTACGACATCCAATGACGCACAAAGCTGTCTTCAAGGTTTCAAGAGTTCATTTGTATAATTTCACGGTTGCTTTGGCTTCAGTATTACGCTTTCGGGTGTAGTTAATAAATATCGCGCTTGCTTTACAATTTCGGCAATTAAAAATGAGAAGTTACTTCGAAACATGAGCACAACTGGGTTTTTCCCGTGTCCGGCTGGAGGCTCGCTGGCTTTTGATTGGTTAGTCATCTTTTCAGTGTCTGGCCTCATCATAATATGACTTCTCGTTCGTTTTGCATTCATGCACAACGCCGTAAAACTATCAGCTGGACCAGTCGCTAGGCCATATCAACTGAATATTCAAAATTTAAGTGACGATCTGCATCTTAAAAGCGACGTTTTTGGGAAGAAGAAATGCGCTAGCTTCAGCAGGATGGACAACAATTATAGTGGTGGTAGCTTAAAATTTACTACTGTAGCTACGGAGTAAATTCAAATATGTCTAAAAATTGTCGTAACATGAATCTAAAAAGAAAATACAGGTCTTAAGATAAAACTGCACTGAAAAGGAAAGGGACTCAAAAGAGAGAAAATCATCATTAAATTATTTGTCAGAGACCTAAAATGTTCTTGGCAAGAAGTTTGAATATTAGAATATTATAACTTATAGGAGGTAACATTAATCAGAGTGTTCTACTTGACTGCAGTTGATGTTCAAATCAATTTACCTTTTGACAGCAGTGACTTTTAATCAACATATTGCCAACGTAATTGGATAAATTAATTGACTGGAAATATATATAACACTGAAAGTCTGAATTTACGTAGGGCTTAAACACTTCTGCTCTAAGTTGACACTAAAAATTGAAACAAACAAACAAAAAAAGAGATTGATTAGAAATGATGTAAAACTAGCGACGTAAAAGCTAGTAAGTATTCTACAACACTTTAACCGATCACTTCATAAGTAATCAAGGGAGTCTATGACCCTGTTAATCTGAAACTGACAGAGCAATGATTAAAATCAAACTATCGATAAATTAAAAAGGAAAATAAGACTTTCATTTATAAACCTAGTTGGTAATGTTACTAGTTTTTCAGGAGTATAGAATGGTTCCTGGAAAAAAGTGGGTCTCGGAAAATTTTAGCCCGATCTCGAAATCTCGGAAGCGTTTGTGATAGGTCTCGTTTTCGGGTGATTTTGCGTCTCGGCGTCTCGAATGCTTCTTTTAAGTCTCGGTCTCGAATTTTGAAACCAGGGTCTCGCAGTCTCCTGCGCGAAGTCGTTATTTCGACTGGTGGTTCGGCATTTAAAGACTTTGTTCTTATGTCGTGGACAGATGTTTAATAGCTGAGGCACCATGCACTGCTCGGGTCTTCAGAGTATCTCAGATGATGGACGTAGTTTTCTCTGTCTCTGCAGACAGTATGCCAGTTTTGTTAAAGGGCCATTAGACCATCTATCCTTTTCATAAAACAGTTTCTAATGCTCCAGATTTCACACCCGGGGGGGTACTGCCATATATGGGCTAAATAGGTATGTGCCGCTGTGAAGGGTATGGTATAGGGTATATAAATCAGAGTGTTTGGGTCTAGAATAGGGTATCATTTTTCAGGAAACTGATCAGTTGGTTGAAGACTTTATCTAGACAAGGGAAACAGCTACTCTAGGATAGGGGGATTTGGGGAGTTTACTCTAGTATAGGGTAGCAAAATTCAGCTGAACTAGCTCTGGTATAGGTTAAGGGTTCCAGGGTCCCAGCGGCACGTCCCCACCCAGAAATTCCTAAAGTGCCCCCCCCCCGGGATTTCATACTACCTTATAATTTTAGTGCTTGAAGCTGCAGATATCTTCGAATGTCTACGCTCCTGCATAAATCATAGAACTGATTAGGCAGACCTATTAATTCACAAATCCAGGTCAAATCGACTATAATTCATATTTGAAAGGCTAAACAAATTACCAATTTTCTGCTGTTGCTGGGACAAATCAGGTCTCTACGCTCTTTAACGTGTATAGAGGATTCCCTGCCCTGCAAACGCTCGTTTTCTCCGTTTTTATGTTTTTCGCTGTTCTCGGATGTCTTATGTATTAAATTCCGTCTGTATGTCCACGCCCATGTCCACCGCCGGAATAACGTAAACATATAATTATGTACAACATGCTAAGTTTGAAAAAATCATTAAGTAATAAGTCTTGTTATATTGGACCAAACCACAATCAAAACATTGAAAGTACAATATTCCGCAATAGTAGACTAACTATATTTATACTCATGTGTTGCATGACCTGACATAGCTTTGAACTGCAACTTGTAATTTTATATTAGTACCTTATTTGTACATTGGTTTACGACATAACGTCCCCTAAGGCCTCTAATACAGGACTTTTCCTTTCCGATCTTTATCGCAGAGAAAGGCCATTTGTGTACCAAACTAATCGGCATACCAGCGACAAATGGAACTCCGTTTGGAGTTTTCTTTGTCAACACAAAGGGTGTAAAAATGCACACCTTTATCTCTGGGATTCTCACTAGCGTCTTTCCTTAATCATCCTCTTTTTTGTGTACTAGGCAAAAAGGAAGTCTATTAAGCTATGAGCAACAAACTAGAGAAGTCTGATTGTTTTCTTCTCGCTCTAATTGGCTTAGAATTATACAGTTTAACTAAGGGTGATTAAGAGGCGGATTTAGTGGGGGGGCCAAGATTGCTATATTCACAAGCTTTTGTATACCTCAAGAGCAGAAATTTCTTCCGATCAGGATGTCCACTGTTTCTGATAAGTTGACTGGATCCGGCCTTGATATTATATTTAGTCATTTTACCAGTTTTGATTACCTACAAGTGGCTAGCTAGGGGGCCGAATATGTACTTGTCTTTGTTTTTAATTTCCTTGCGTGAGTTTTTGATGGTTTTCGCGGGGACATAATCTTTGCTTCAAGGTCGGCTGGGGGGCCGTGGTACGAGGAACAATTTAGCAACATCACCCAAAGTTCTCCCAGATTTTAATTTCCTCAATATACCCAAAACTGGACTGGGTAATCCCATATTTTTTTGTTAGGGATAAGCAAATGACGCAAACGCACGTTAGTATCTTTGCCCTCCTCATGTCTCCTTTCTTCGCAAGAGACGATTTTCACGAATGATTGCGTCTTTTGCTTGCTCTGCTATCCATGGGGAAAATAATTGAGAAGTCCGTGGTTTAAAAAAACTGTAAAAAGAGTAGTATATTTTTGATGAAAATAAACGACGCTTTATACCCAGCTTACGAACCCCTGCATACCATATATGGGTATATTCATCTAAAACCATGGCCTGGGGCCGGGTCGTATAAAACGCTCGTAACAGTTACGGGTATACGTACGTGCACTCGTAACTTAAGTGAGTTCCATTAAATCATCTAAAACCATGGCCTGGGGCCGGGTTGTATAAAACGCTCGTAACAGTTACGGGTATACGTACGTGCACTCGTAACTTAAGTGAGTTCCATTAAATCACTTATAACTAGTTTTTACTTTACTCAACGGATTTAAGTTTTCGCGGGTTAGGTCAGATAGTCAGGGAGTGTAGCGTAACGTTGTTTATAATTTTGAAAATACAGCATTTTTTGACGTGAGCAGTAATGTGACAGTGAAATAACATTTCCCTAAAGTGAATGATTGATCGGTTCATGGATGAACCCCTTCGCTCTTTAATAAGGAAATGACAAGCTTTTCCCATCCATTTACAAATGAGCTCGTTCAAGATATTAAATACCATACCTTATTCCTGCTTAAGCTTTAGAGGAATAGGACATATAAATTGTAAGCAATTTTCGAAAACTATTATAAGGAAGAAAGCAATGTAACTGAGCTGTCTTAGTTTATTGCTATACCCGTTTCTTTTTCAAACCTGTTTTTCGCTGCCGTAGTCCGGCAACGACAAACACGATTGCGTGCCAAGCTTTAAATATGAAAGATTTTGATATAACTGTCAGGCTTTTCTGTTCAATGTCTGGTGTTAAACTTTTTTCAAATTGCAGTACTGATACGAACACGAGCCGACTTAACCAGTTACACTTCGAGACTGGCATTTCCATGACAAAAGCTAATTTCTTGTGATTGCTTCGTTTGCCTTTTTACCCTGAAAACTACAACGACACAGAGCCCTTGTAATCTCTGCTCTTGTCTAAGACAGATTAAGTGACATAAATAGAAAAAAGGGGTTCTATTTTGAGTCAACGGTGAAAGATTGGATTGCCATTTTTTGTTTTATTTCTCATCATCACGATTCATTATAAACGCCATTGCCATGTTGTTAACTAGTTTCGTCAAGCTGTGCCTGATTTGACTCTACATTTACACTGGTTTTTTTAAGTGTTACAGTTTCTCAATTCAATGACATGCGATCGACCAGTTTGAGTATTTATGAGACTTAATTCGAACAAGGGACTTTAAGTCTTCTGCGTCTAAGCACGAGTGACGTTATTGTGAAAAAAAAAATCATGTTTTTTTTTACTGTGTTTGCTTACCATTTACATAGTTATTCTTAACAAACACTTTGTAGAAAAATTTGCAAACGGAATACCCAAATTATGACCAAAAACGTTTCCAACGTATTGTTTACAGCATCGCTATTTGGAATCGGTGAACAGCAAACGATTTTTACTTGTTTTAGTGATCGGTTGTGCCCATAACCGTCAAGGAGATCATGTTTAAATAAAATTGCTTTCTCTAAGCAACTGAGTTTGTAGCCTAAAGCTAAACTGCAATTGACTTACACTTCAAGATTTGTCATGCTTAAACATAATTCTTGACTGCCTACCTTAAAAATTGTGGGTTCCAAGCTCTACACGGCTAAAACGCTAAAAATCCATTGACACCAGGCCATGGAGTTAAGATGGTGTAAA